AAAAAAAAACAAACAAAAAACTTGGGGGAGAACCATTAGTTTCACCTTCAAAAACCAAGTTAACTAATCACAGCAAAGACTGTTATTTTTAAGGAGGCATTTTGAAGAAGGCCTACATTTGCCATATTACAGTTGAAAACTGTTTAAGGGAGATTTCACAGTGTATCTCATTTTTTGAAAAGACAAAGCAGGACAAGTAAAGGGAATATACTAAATTCAGAAAGCTACCTTTTGGTATCATTTTCCTCATTCATCCATGAGCTAAGCAATCTGTAACACAGTATTTTAGACATTAGGATAGGGTATTCAGGGTCTGCTACAGCATCTATACTTAACAGTCAAAAAGATGGGAAAGACCTATAAAGAGAATGAATTCATCAAACTCTTAACCAAAACAGTCTCCATACAGAGGGCTAAGAGCATGATGGCCCTGGGACTAATACTTACGTTTTCCTAAATGTGATAGAAAACAAAAGCACCTTTTAAAAAATTTCCATTCCTAATGAGCAAAAAGGCCATGAAAACAAGACTTTGTTCTTTTTTTATTTTTTTCCTAAATGATAGGCTGGGCACAGTGGCTCACATCTCTAATCCCAACACTTTGGCAGGAAGACAGCTTGAGGCCAGGAGGTTAAGACTAACTTGGGCAACATCATGAGAACTTTACAAAAAAATTAATTAGCCAGGTGCGATGGCATGTGCCCATAGTCCCAGCTAATTGGGAGACTGAGGCAGGAGGGTTGCTTGAGCCCAGGAATTTGAGGTTCAGTCAGCTATGATCAGCTCACTGCATGCTAGCCTGGGCAAGATGTGAGAGATCTTGTCTCAAAGACACAAAATTATGTTCTCAACAACACCAAGCTCGAGTGAAATAGTTTTCATGAAAACAAAAATTTTGAGTTAATCCCCTTCTCAAGTGCAAACATATGTACCAAGTTGAGATTTCTCTGAGATTTTTATCAATATATTTATTGTTAAGATCTGAAACAGAAATTTATGCTTAAGCTCAATATTTAAAATTTGAATGTGTTCCAGACTGCTACAAATTCTTCTTTTTTTTTTTTTTTTTTTGAGACAGAGCCTCAAGCTGTCACCCTGGGTAGAGTGCTGTGGCATCACAGCTCACAGCAACCTCCAACTCCTGGGCTCAAGCGAGTCTCCTGCCTCTGCCTCCCAAGTAGCTAGGACCACAGGCGCCCACCACAACACCCGGCTATTTTTTGGTTGCAGCCGTCATTGTTAGGCCTGGGCTGGATTCGAACCCACCACTTTAGGTGTATGTGGCTGGCGCCTTAGCCACGTAAGCCACAGGCGCTGAGCCCAGACTGCTACAAATTCTGTTGTTTATGTATTGTCCTTACTTCTGAAAACCTTGTTTTCCAGAAGATGTTAACTCTGAGCCTTTCATTTGTAAGTAGGCAAGTTTTTTCTTTTTTTCTGAGACAGTCTCACAGTTGCCACAGGATAGAGTGCTATGGCATCACAGCTCACAGCAACCTAAAACTCCTGGATTCAAGCGATCCTCCTGCCTCAGCCTCCGGAGCAGCTGGGACTACAGGAGTCTGCCACAGGCCCAATCAGTTTTTCTATTTTTAGTAGAGATGAGGTCTTGCTCTTGCTCAGAGTGGTCTTGAACTCCGGAACTCAAGGGATCCTCAGGCTTCAGCCTCCCAGAATGCTAGAATTACAGGTGTGAGCCACCAGGCCTGGCCACAAGTAGGCAGTTTACCTGCAAGCCTACAATAACCTCAAGGGCTTTACAGAAACTAGTGCTTAAAACTCTTTTCCTGACTGTTCTCTTATAGCGATTCAAACTTTGTGATCACAAAAGCACATAATCAGTAAATGTTGGCAGACCAGATCTCTGCGTGTCCCATTACTTTTCCAGTATTTCTTCATAGCCTCATTCTGTCCACCAAAGGACAAAGCCCTCACCATGGAGCTGACAGAACAGCTTAGCTCTGTTATTTCCAGTGCTTGCTTCTTTAAAACTTTTTATTGCTCTAAACTGCATGGGTAAATGACAAAAGGCTTTTGTAGACTGGTGTCCAAAAAACCCATTTGAGACCAAATTTATTTCACTGGCAACTAAGACTGTGCTGGTTTCTTACTATAAAAGTACAAAGTTATTTTTTTCTGAAAACTTTCTCACCAATACTGTCTCACTACTACTCAGCGAACACTTAAAACAGAGAAATGATTCATTTTAAATGGTATTCTTCCTTCTAACTTCTTACAGTTTAAAAAAAAAAAAACCCTCCATCCTCACCAAGCCACTAGAATTTGACACACTATCCACATCTAATCTCTAAATCCCCACACACTAGGTTGGACACCCACTTGCAAAAAACACAATGTATCAACTTTTATGCTGAACCCATTTAGCAACCTGCCCAAATGAACAGACTCTGATCGTAATTCTCAACACAAGGTCTAATGGTAAATAGATCTCAATCTTCTCTTTTAAAGTTAAGTCAGCTGCTTTGTCCAAGAAGGTATCCTGAACTCATCGTCCCCCATGCAAAAACAGAAAACTGACCCAATGGTCTCTCTCCATATAAATTTCAAATAAATCTTCTCGGATTACATGAGTGAATCTCATCTGATCACCTTACTCTCTCCTAGATGTCAGCATGCTGACACCACACTTTAGAACCTGATACAGAGTTGACTAATTTTAACATACCATTCTCACCATGAGATATGAAAAAACAGGGCTGTCCCAAGCACTGGTCAGTCACCAGACTACAGAGTTTTGATAGGACTTTTAATGTGGCCAAACCCTATCGGGCACACCGGATCAAGCAATTGCTTTCCACGACTCCTTTATAACACCGAGTCAGACCTTTCTCCAGCCTTACCCAGCATTTACACCACCACTCCAGAGGAAGATCTTTAGGGAACGATTACAAATCATGACCACATTAGGCAGTTTTAATTTTAAAGAATTTTAATACAAACTTAATATAAACTATTTCAGTCCCTCTTAACATGTAAGACACTGACTCAAAATACTTTTATACCGTTTTTTTTCAAGTATTGCACAATATAGGTACAAAATTAATATTTACGATTACATTTTCTTCCATAATATATAGCAAAAATCTTTAAACCTTTAACAGAAAATACATTTTTTTAAAAAGCAAATATTCGTACATTTTAATTCCACCACTAAAGGAATATCCTGTACACAATTTTTAGAATAGTTGATGTCTTTAAGATGGATATTTTACAATTTCAGTAAAAAAAATACAACATGAAGCTGCTGCTGTCACAGATCACTGTAGTAAAAAGATATAAATGCAATACCATGTCGTAGAAACAATATATATATCCTCTGATATTTTACAAACTTTGTACTAAATTAAATTATACAATTAGAAAAGACCAATAAACCCACTTATTAGTGCCAATTTTTTATAAAAAAAAAAAATCAGCCATGTCCTTGCTATATCTTAAATACTGTAAGAGGCCATATCTGAGAGTATACTTTAAAATATACAGTCAGTATAAAATAACTTTGTGCTTGGTTGGCAAATGAAAAATGATGCATGTTTTATTTTTGTAACCAAGCTTGAATGTATTCTTACTATAAGCTTAAAAAAAAAATCTCAAGGAGGTAAAAGGGGAAAGAAAAAAGAAAAAAAAACAAAAGATCCCCCTTGGGCCCATTCATTTTAACTTGTACATTTTCTTCTTCTTTTTTTTTTTAGTTAGCCATAACAGGCTGGAATTGCTGGTTAGAATACTGCATGTTATTTAAGCTAAAATTCAAGCCATCTACAAAAGACTTCTCATTGAGGCCTCCATAGGCTGCAAACACATCAAAGGCATTACTGTACTGGAGAGGACTGAGGTTAAGGGGGTTGTCACCTGGGAACACTCCATTGGTACTACTACCTTGACCCTGCATATTAGGAAAAATAAATTCCTTGGCATTAGGAGATAGAGCAGAGGTTTTCTGCGGCTGCTGCTGTTGTTGTTGCTGCTGCTGCTGTGGTGGTGGCGGCGGCTGGGACGGCTGCTGCTGTGGCTGCTGCTGGCTACCCAGGCCAAGCCCATACAGAGAGTGCATTGAGGATGAGATGGCTTTCTGCTTCAAGAGGTCATTCACATTCAAGCCGAGGTTGATAGGAGAAGTACGTGCAACCTTGTTGCTACGGCCACTATTCTTCATTTTGGTAGAGCCAAACTTGGTGGCAGCAAAAGTGGCAGTGGTAAAGGTTAAAGGCTGAGTGGACCGGGGCATGAAGGTAGGGCTTACAGCAGCAGAGTGACCAAAGGGAGGCGATGGAGAGCTGGACACTGAAGAGGCTGGGTCACTTATGGGCATAAAAACCTGGGCCTCTGGGTTAAAGCTGTTTTTGATCTCCTTATCCAACTCACATCCATTTTCATTATTATCATCCACATAAAGCACCTTCACTGGTCCCTTTTCACCAATTTGGTAGGAAACCTCAAATGGGTCGATCCAAACACTAAGATCCTGTGGCAGATTGCCACGAACATCATCAATGTCCAAACCACTCTCTTTGGATGCTTGTTCAATCACTGGGTCCACTTTCTCCCCTACATGGATACATCTAAACCCTGATCCTTTGTATGGCTTTTCAGGATACCAGTGCCCTTCATATTTCTTCTTAAGAAGTCTTTCAAGCTCTTCACCAAAAATGTTGACACGTCTCCTGGGAAGCTTATTGTATAAATATGAAATGATAAAATTTAGTGCTACTTGGATTTCAAGCTGCATAGCTGCTATGCCACAAAGTTAGGTTTGTTTCAATGCTCCCACCAAAAAAAAAAAAAAAAGCGTTCAGTTTGTGGCAGGGAAACAAATTTTCATTCAAAGTGCTGGTATTGGTAGATTTATCCTTCACCTTGAGTGATCTTGTTCCTTAAAATGAAACAAAAGCAAACATATCCAAATAAGATACTTGTAATAATGTCAGTCCCAGGACCTATTTGTTTACCTCCCAGTAATTTTACTTTTGAAAATGTGACTGGCTAGGAAGCCTGAAAAATATAATTCGTACAAAAACAAAGTAACATACAGTAGAAAATTGTCTATTAAAAGCTCAAAATTTCCTGGGAAACTGTAGATTTATGGTTAAATAACATTTTTTTGAAAACCCTATTTACTTTTTGAAAGAAGCACATCTCCAGAATGTGCACGCTTTCCTTCTTCAATTCTCACAAGAATATTTACTAGAAACTGTGTTCAGCCTATGCCCCACATATATATGCCCCTTTCAGAAGGTAGTCTAAATTTTTATTGTTATTTGCCAATTTAGAAGTGGACATCATATTTTAGTTCATTTGGATATATACTAACTAAATCAGCCCTATCATTAACATGTAGAAATTTGAGAAGTTAGAAAAATTATTAATGGGCAGCGCCTATATGGCTCAAAGGAGTACGGTGCTGACCCCATATGCTGAAGGTGGTGGGTTCAAGCTCAACCCTGGCCAAAAACTGAAAGAAAAAAAAATATTAATTTCTGAAGTACATGATGCTAAAATTAAAGGTAGTAAGTACTAAATACTAAATAAATTGTCATCCTATTGAATGATTATGGACCAAATTATCTTATAGTTGTGGTCTTAAATATATAGGGACACACACTAATGGAGTTTCTCTGTGCTTTTTCTCAATTGTGTATTTTTCTAAATCTGAAAATATCTTTTTGGCTGCAAGTGTAACAAAAGCAACAATGAATTTTAAAATTCCATTGATTATTCCGTTTAAAGGCCAGCGGTTCTGAGTTTTATTTTGATTTTAAAAACCACCTCCCTCCCTTTCACCATAAGAGAACAGCCAGAGAGGCATGTATGATAAGGTCGACCTTTAAACGTTTGCTGGATCAGCACTGGGTGGGGATAAGAAAAGATCAAGGGCAAACAAGATATTTGCGAAGGGGATCTATTTGTACAGAGGTTGATTAAAAAGGGCACTCAAAAATCAAGTTGGTCTGAATTCGTCTGTTCCCATCTTCCATATCCGTGGCGACAAAGGAAAAAGAATCCCTGGCTGCCCCCAAACTACAAACACTTTCCAAGTCAAAAGCCTGAGAGTGCCAGCACAGGCGGCCGATTAAGCCCAACTGCTTGAAGGTGCAGCCGAGCCAAAATCAGGCTCGGTGGAAGGTAGTTTTAAAGCAACGCCTTAAGAAAGACGGGAGTGTGAAGAATTACATAAACAGCCAGTTGAGTCTCATTAGATTTCTGCTCACAGCCCTCGGAGCCCAAGAGCTACAGCAGCAACAACAGCAAGAGGAGGTGGAAGTGAAGGAGGAAGAGAGTACGAGCCTCCTGGCAGGAGGAGAAGCAGGAGGAGGAGGACCGCCACAAGAAATGGAAAAGCAATCTCCCGAGGCCGAGCACCCGGCGCCGAGCAGGTCGGGGCGCCGGCCGCAGCCGGGTCAGCCGCTCCCCTCCCCCCCGCCGTAACCTGACCCGCCGCTCCCCGCCCCCCGCCCTAAGCTCCTGGGACCCAGCCAGAGCTCGGGGGAGCACCGGTTCCCCGGCACCATTTTCGGCCTCGGCGGCCACCAGCCCCCTCGAACCCCAGCGTTCCCCGCGAGCTAGCCGCTCCTCCCGTGCGCCCCAACCCCCGACTCCCTTCAGCTCGCCCCGGCCGCCCTTCCCCGGTCACCCGCCACGACCGAGCCCGACGCGCCGCCGCCCCTCGGAGCCGCCTCCCGCCGGACCACGGGAGCCGCTCTTCTCGGGTCCCGACGGCTACCCCTCCGCGCCCCGGGCCGCGACATCGCCGGTCCCGAACCCCCGAGGGGCGGGGGCTGGACGAGGCTGCAGCCCCTCCGGCGTTGCACGGCCCGGGGCTCCCCGCTCCTCGTCGACCCCGCCCGCCGCCCCGCGATACTTACGGGCTGCTTCGGGGCTGCTTCCACCAACAGCCCGCGGCTGGGCTGGGGAAAAGGCGGCAGGGCGGGGACACGGGAGGGTCGGAGCGCCAAGCTGGCCAAGTGCAAGACGTGGCCACCGCCGGGCGGAGGACTGAGGCCTCGGGAGCTTGCTGCTTCTGGCTCGGGATGGCGGGGACTGGGGTCAGGCGAGCGCGCTCACTTCACACAGCCCAGTGCCCCGGCCCAGCGTCCCCGTAATCGCCCTCTTTGCGCCGGGCCAGAGCTTCGCTCCTTCTGCCGCGGCGCGCACCCCGCCTCTCGTTTTATATTCTCCTCCCTGCCCCCCATCAGCTCCGTAGGGGTGCGCGTGCCCGCCCCGCGTCACACAGCTTCGGGCGGCGTAACCATTCCCGGCCCTCCCCGCCCCGCACCCCAGACCCATGCCGGCTGGCTCCGCCCCTGCCCTGCCCCCCGACGCCATTGGCCAAGTCCCGCCTGCCGATGCCCTGATGGGCGGTGGACTGCCAGGGTGGAGAAAGTCACACCCCTCGGGCTCCTGGAGAACCAATGAACCGACGATCTGTAGTGACTGTGGGCGGGATTAAAAGAAAATTTGTAAAGGGATTGGGAGAGGGACGTGCCAGTGAGGGCGAAAGGAGTCGGGTAGTGTGGCTGGTCCTCTGTCTAGGCGGAGAGCGCAGGGAGAGTGGGGAGGGTAGTGAAGCCGGTGGAGAAGTGGAAGGGGAGAATTCGGAGAAAAGCCCCAGGCTTGGAGAGGGAGGGGTGAGGCTACAGAAAATGCCCTGTACCCGAGCGGGGCTATGGCCGAGGAAAATCACGCTCGCGGACTAGCTACCAAGTCGGCCCCCAGCCCGCAGGGGAATTTAGAGAATGGGCGAGCTGTGACCGGGACTCGTGCACCCGATTAATTGCATATTAATCACCTACGGGCCTAGGCCAACTGCCACCCAGAGAGTGGCAACAGCAGAACCCAAAGCTGTGGTGCTAGGCTGGGGGTGGGGAAGAGAGGCCACCTCGCCACACCTCCCATCCAGGTGACAGTTTAACTGCCTTCGCAGTGCCACCTCAGACCACCCGGTGCGAACCAGCAGCAGCTCAAGAGATGGGGGTGACTTGAGAAGGATCACATTTTATTGCAAACGTCCCAGTCCAGGCCTCCGTGTGGCGACACGATGCCAGACTGCGATGTCTCTGGTGTACACATATACATACGCGTATACGTACACACACATGCACGCGTGCGTCTCAAGGGCTTACTTTCACACCGGTGCACAGAATAAACACGAGGCCTTCCTGTAATGCTCAGTTAAGATAATTTTCGATTGAAATACATGCGGGAGTGGAGAAAGAGAGGGACTTCAAGGGAGCGAGCGAATGAATTTTCACAACCTGCCCCAGAGAAATACACGAAGTCACATTGGGAGTAGAATGGAGCGTCCCTCTCGGCTAAAAATATTACTCACAGGTAGCAACGACGCCTGATTGGCCGCGCTCGTCCCCTAGCAACCAGGCGATTGGCCTTCTGGTATCCAGGAGACCGACGTCAAACTCCGACTGGGGGAAAAAAGGGGAGAGAAAGTCTAGGGGGAGCTAAGGAGGGGAGGGGGAGAAAGAGAAGCGATGAATGAAACGCCCATCGCCTGGCCTTCCCCTTTCCCCTTTCCTCTGCATTCTTGAAGCACTTCCTGGAAAAACACCAGTTGGGTCACTGCCTTCCCCTCAAAACTGCGAGGACCTACGTTCTCAACCTGCTGTAAGGAAGTTAAACCGCAGCTCACTCGAGAGTGGGGTGTACGCGGGCTGGGCCTGTGTAGACCAGCTGTGCTCCTTGGGCACAAACTCGCTTTACGTTTCAGTCCTAGAAGCTTTTTGCTTAACGCACTCACAATCTAGAAGTAGCCTTCTTCTCCACCTTGAATCTCTAGCCTCTCCCTTATAGAAGGAACTTCATTGAGAAAGGACGTTTCTAAAGTCTCAAAGCCTGTGCGAGGGGAGGGAAGATGGGTTTGTGGAATGGGCAAAGGGTGGGCAGTGGTCCGGTGACTGATTTCATGTTTATTGGGCAGATTCCCGAAACATAGTTTTTTTCAGTGACTCTTTAAATTTGGATTTTTTTTTTAGGGTTTATGGTTTTTAGTTGCAAACAAAAATGAAATTAAATTGTGAAAGCATGGCAAGCATTTAAAATTAAAATGCCCCTTCCTCTGCATTGAAATATCATAAAAATATCTAAAAAAAAATCTAATATCAATTATTCATTCTGTTTTCTTCTTTTTGCTCATTCGTATGTTTTTGTTTTTTTTGGAAGGACAATTATTAATTTCCTTTGTAATAAAAGTGAGTTATTTTTAATTTTATAATTAGTTGAGAACAGATATTGCAAGAAACTAGGTAGGGTATTTTGGGAATGACTTACCAAGAGAAACCCTTGATTTTTCATGTGCTCCAGAAGCATAAAGTCTCTTACCATTAAGAAAATAATGTTACCGTACCAAACATCCAGAATTTCAGGACCATGTGTCTTGATTTGTAATTTGGAAAATATATTACTATAATTAGGGGAGCATATTAAGCTTGGCTGAGATTAAAATGTCTAACTAAAGATAGATGAATCGTAATTTTGTCAAGCTTATCTATACTTTTCAAGAATTCTGTAAAGGCACAAAATTCTGTAAGGCACAAAAAGAAAGGCACAAATTCTCTTTTCTGAATGTTCCCAATTCATAATTCCAAATTTAAAATATGACAGCATTCATCTAATAAGTGCTGATTAAATGTCAATAGCAGTAAATAATTTTTATTTATTTATTTATTTATTGAGACAGAGTCTTACTATGTTGGCCTCAGTAGAGTGCTGGGGCATCACAGCTCACAGCAACCGCAAACTCTTGGACTTAAGCTATTCTCTTGCCTCAGCCTCCCAAATAGCTGGGACTACAGGTGCCCACCACAACACCCGGCTGTTTTCTGGTTATAATTGTCATTGTTGTTTAGCTGTCCAGAGCCAGGTTCAAACCCACCAGCCTCTGTGGATGTGCTCTGCACCGTAACTACTGTGCTACAGGCACCAAGCCAGAAGTAAATAAAATTTTTAAGTCAGAAATTTAGATCACAAAATGTTATTGGTTCTTAACATTGCCCAGTGGTATAAGAAGGTCTCAAAACTTCAAAACAAATATAAACACACAAACACATCAAGGCCTCATAGCATACTGGAAAATGCACTGAAGGGTAGGGATTGGAACATCTGAGTTTCACCCCAGTTTTTATCAACTTTTAGTTTTCTACCAAAAGGGTTAAATTACATAGTATCTAATGTCCCTTTCGATAAAAATATCCACATGTAAAAGCTCAATGACCCTGACATGAATAATATAATTATTTTTCAAATATGGACTGCCAAAAGAAGGGAAAGCCATTTAGATCTTTGAACATTGCCAGTCACAAGGTATCAAATGCCCTTTATCCAAGTTTTGCACTTTAAAGAACCCCTCATGTGGCTGATTACTATTTAACATTTAATATGAGATTGTGCAGGGGAGTGGACTGCTAAATATTATTCAGATTTATGGAGATGAAACAAAGAAGAATTTAATATTAGGCTCCAGGTGGTATCACAGTCAAGAGGTGTCCCTCTCTCTAAGCAAATGATAGTCACTAGAAACCTTAGCCTTTGCCTCTCACATCTTACTTTGCACAGAATTCCTAGCCATGTCTTAAAAGTAATAATTGTTTGATAGAAAATAACTTACAGTATCATCAGAAAATACAATTCTTGAAAGTGCCTTGAATTATTACCTCACTCTGCCCACACACACACAAAGCACCTTGATTTCTTTTTTTTTTTTTAGAGACAGAGTCTCACTTTGTTGCCCTTAGTCAAGTGCAATGGCGTCATAGCTCACAGCAACTTCAAACCCTTGGGCTCCTGAGTGCCTGGGACTATAGGTACTGGCCACAATACTGGGCTATTTTTTTGAGATGGGGTCTCACTCTAGCTCAGGCTGGTCTTGAACGCCTGAGCTCAGGAAGAGATTCATCTACCTGGGCCTTCCAGAGGGCTAGAATTACAGGCATAAGCCACAGTGCCCAGCCTAGCACCTTGATTTCTGAAAGAGATGTTTCCTAAACTTTCTAATTCTTATTATGTTCCCTTGTAGATTGGTACAGGATCACAGGAGAATGCCTATCATACAATGTGTATTTACTGAGGCTTATTACTTCTGGGGAATTGACATTTTTCCTTTATTTGAAAAGAAAGCAACCTACAAATATAAGAATATTCTTCTTAATATTCATTTCTTTTTACTTTTTTTTTTTTTTTTGAGACAGAGTCTGACCATTTCACCCTCAGTAGAGTGCTATGGCATCACAGTTCACAGCAACCTCAAACGCTTGGGCTTAAGAGATTCTCTTGCCTCAGCCTCCCAAGTAGCTGGAACTACAGGCACCTGCCACAACGCCTGGCTTTTTTTTTGGTTGCAGTTGTCATTGTTGTTTCAGCTGGCCTGGGGCTGGGTTTGAGCCACCCTCGGTGTATGCGACCAGCGCCCGACCCACTGAGCTATGGGTGCTGCCCTATTGATTTCTTTTTAGACAGTCATGCAACACAAACCATAGCATACTAATTTTAAAATTAATTTAAACAACAAGAAGCTATACTTTGAGTTATTAAAAACCACATAAACCAGTCCTTTCCTAAATATTTCTCAAAGGAAGGCATTGCATTGGAACCTCAATGTGGTTTCCTGTGGCTTTTCATATGGGTCTGTAAAGGAGGCCCATACAGTCTCCAGAAGAGCCTGGCACGCAGGTATTTGTAATGAAAAGATAACTAGATAATCTTAAACAAACCCATTTATCTTTGGAACAGGCAATTCCACTGAAGCAACGGAGGCCTGATAAGAGAATGTCTTTCCTTATAACTCGCTTACTCCCTGTAATCTTGAACAGAAATCCAAACTAAATCTTGAAATTTCTCTCCATTAGCTAAGGATAGGGATTTTGATTTCAGCAAGAGATTATAGTGCAGATTCTAGGAGTGATACAGTGTTCATGACATTCTAAGTACAAAGAACATTTATTTAAAGTTCTCTGTGAGCAAATGTTATTAGAGTACTTTAAATACATTTAAAGCATGGGTTGCATATGTTATTATGCAGCTCTGCTTACTAAAATGGAATATAGTTATATATATAGACATAACACCAGTGTGGCAGACACCGGTGCCAGCTTACCCAATTCCCAGGCCCCATTCCCATCCTCTTGTCTTCCT